TTTTGAGAATGATGTACAAATGCGCTTTACACAATTGATGTGTGTATGGATTGCGGTAACAGTTGTATGAGCCCCTAATAAAATATTTTTTTAAAAAAGAATACAAATGAATATTCTTTATCAGTTCCTTTAAAGTAAAGGCAGTGTTTTTAATAAAATTTTGCAAGTGGATGTAGGTTATTAAAGTTTGATTATTGCTTTTGTTCTGTAAGTACCTCAGGCCCTGAGGAACATGTCTGGCATATGGTTGTCAATTGAGAAAAACTTGAATTAATTAATCTTTTGTAAAAATGATTTAAGCATGGCACCTATAAAAACTTAACATGTGCACACAATCTTAGAAATAGAGTTTTCCAACAGGATTTCAAAACTTACAAAAGAAGAACTCCATTGGACATATGGAAACATTTGCTAAGCATATTGGACTTCAGTTCCAGATGAACTTGATGTTGGAACAATTGAGGGTGCTCCTGAGCCAAATTTCATCAGAAACTTTGCATACTTGTTAGAGAGGATTGAAAATGTAGTGTTGATATAATTCAGAATTGTAGCCAACAATGTAAAGTCATCCATTTGAACTTCAGATAACAGCCTTAAGAGCATTGTGTATAACTTAGAAAGAGCCCACTGCATCATTAGCATTTTTTAAGATAATGTATATTTGATCATATTTCAGTAAAAATATGAAAATGTTGGTAGATCATAAGATTTTCCTTAATTTTTCTTCAAGTATTTTATTTTTAACATCGTTTCTAATATGTTTAATGATAAATAGAATACGAGTGCTATGGTACATACCATTTGTAAGTAAACATACATTTTATTGATTGGGTGCTTAACATTTTAGCTAGTGTCCACAATTTTAAAATATCTAGAGATGTTTGAAGGATTTCATCATTAAGAAGAAAAACAAACACATTGTTGCATTACCCTTCAATTAAAACTGTATGTTGTCCTGTATTTAGGCTGCTGGTCTTGGTCGTATGAAACCAAATACACTTGTCCTTGGATTTAAGAAAAATTGGTTGCAAGCAGACATGAGCGATGTGGATATGTACATAAATTTATTTCAGTAAGTACCTACTTAATAATTTGGTAGTGGTTTATTTTTGTTTAGTTTGGTTATGCTTGTTTCATGGTTCATTGTTATTATTTTTGAAAGTTTGCGCTGGCTTTTGAAGCTTGTTATTTGTGCCGCCCCATAGTTTAATAAGGAGCGTTAGTGGCATTGTGGTTATAAGTTGGTCTGCTAACTGCAAAGTCAGCAGTTCAAATCCTCCAGCCGCTTCTTGGGAGAAAGGTGAGGCCTTCTACTCCCGTAAAGTATTACAGTCTCAGAAACTCAAAGGGGCAGGTCTACCCTGTCCCATGGGTTTCTATGAGATGGCATCGACTTGACAGCAGTGAGTTTTCTCTTTGATGATGTTTTTTTGTTTTTCATACTCTCATGAAATGGAAGTATTAATACTGCAATTAAGGAGAATTCGAGTGCTAGTCAATTAAGTAATACTTCTAAGGATCACAGTGGTCATCTGAATTCTAAATTTTGTTAATTTTTTGTAAGCAAAATCTTATTTATTCTAGTTTTCTAACTCTTCCTATTTATATAGTTGAGAATTTAGGGGCAAAGGGCAGTGTGAAAGGCAAGTTGTAGCTCTAGGCTATGTACACTTTTTCTCAAGACTCATTGAAGTAACTCTCATAAATAGGAAAGGTAGCATTTTTGCAAATAATTCTTTCATATAACTGCTACATTATTACTTATAGTTGCTCACAGTAGGAGCATTGACACAAGGCCTTTGAGTGTCCTTGTAAAGATTAAAGTGAGTGGTTGCCCTGTAAGGTAAGTAATACTGTAACAGGCAACATTAAAGCAGCGTTCCCAGAGTGGGCACTGTCACGCCTGGGGGTTCTGGAACTATCCAGGGGAATCGTAAAAGTGATCGCTACACATTATCCTGGATTATGTTCTTATGCGTCTTTCATTGTCACCGTTATACTGAGTAATTTTTTCCCCTAAAAATGGAGCTGAGTAACAAATCAGTTTATGAACCTGTGCATTAAAATATAGGTAAACATTACTCTCTGGTGTTTCCAAAACAAACTATCTGCCATCAAGTGGATGCTGACTCATAGAGACCCTGTAGGACAGGGTCCTGCTCCATTGAGTCTTGAGAAAAAGGATACATAGTCTACAGCTACAACTTGCCTTTTACACTGCCCTTTGCCCCTAAATTCTCAACTCTA